CGTTAAGTCGTGTCCGACACTTCGTGACCCCATGAACCATATTGCGCCAGGCCTTCCTGTCCTTCACTGCCTCCCTGAGTTTCCTCAGTTTGCTCAGTTTCATGCTCAAAAATATTCCTATTTAACCTAAATTATGAGGTGGAGAGGCATTACTTTTTATTCAACCTTGGAAAACAAAGATATGAAGGCAAATTAAACAGCAACTGAAAAATCAGGGTTTTTTCTGGGAAAAAGGGGGCAGAATCCAGCAACATCAAGCTTATAGACAGATGCCCACAAAAGGAAGCAATTATTTCAATTACTAAGTGTGCATAGTGAGAAAAAACCATGGGTACAGTTGTGAATGGCTTATTCAATTCTACACGTGTTACCATCAGAACACATTTTTCTCACTTCAGGGCTATAATCCTGTATATACCTACTCAGGAAAACAAGCCCTACTGAACTTTTTTTTTTTCCTTCCCATAAAATGCATATAATTGTATTGCTAATTCCCAAGTGGAGAATAACAGATTATAAACCATGATTGCCAGAGTAGGTTTGAGTTACCAAAGATTTCAGAGCTTGAAATAAATGTCTTACTTGATTCAAGGACTGAGAAACTCTGAGCCTGTACAAAATGGTTGAGGTAACACAGAATGCTAATCCAAGACCAAGCAAGCCATTTTATGGCTTAGCACAAAATGTAAATTTTTTCACAGTTTCCAGAAGAGCATTATGAGAGCGAGAGACTAAGCAGGACAGAATGGCAGAGAAGAGAAAACGTGACCTACAATACAGTGAAATAAAAATGAAAAAGTCAAAGTGACCTCTAGAATTCTAGAAACACAAAAGATAGCTTTAATATAAAGGGTAATTCATTAAATGTCTGCAATACTACTTGCAGAAAGAAAGCATTACGAGCCTTCAGCCGATTTCTGTGAATTGCCTGCTGTGGTCTTCTTGAGTGGGATAATGCAGATGCTATTCTTGGCCTCTTTAATCCTCCACCAACGACCCAACCTGAAACACAACCCAGAAAAAATAAAGTATCTGCTTATGAAACATTCCCTTAGTAGCCTTGAATAGGAAGCTCTACAAAAGGGCTGAAGGAAACGTTTCGCCATTTCTATATGCTACTAGTTATACTGCAAAATGTACACATTTCAGAAAAAAAGAAAACAAAAATAAAACTGCAACTGGATGAACAGCAAGACACTGACAAGGCTGGGATTAAGCCACTAGCACAAGGGCAGTTCTTTTCTTTCAGGTGCTTTCACAGCAGGGTTTTTACATCTCAACCCAGAAATCTAGAGAAGGCACTGAATTTCACACCTCTTACTATTCTGTTCTGAATGAAAGCTCAGAGTTTTGCTTTGAGCCTTGCAACCAGACACCCAGGCTTATCTGAAGTTTGGTATTAATGCATGGGAGAGTTACTCTCATGATCAGCCGAGTCAGGGTACTAAAGCCGAGAATGTGGCCTCTCGGTGCCTTGTCCAACCCTCTCCCTGCTAGGGTGGGGACGTAAATCCCCACTTGGGAGTTCATCAACATTGGGTACAAAATCACCTGCCAGTGCAACTTCCAGGAATTCAACCAAAAGATTTCATAAGCAAGCCCAGTCTCAACACAGTACTGATGTTTTCTAGAATGTTTGGGGGAACAGACTAGGACACTTTTTAAAAGCACACATTTGCCTTGAATCTGGCACAGAATGTGCGCAATTTGCCAATGTGAATGGAAACCATGTGGACATACCTGTGTTCCTGTCCAATTCCAGCAACTAGGAAGTTTCCAGAATTTGCAAATTTCAAGCTATTAACAAAACCAATCTGAAAAAGACCAAGATTAAATATTTAAATATTTGAAATCAGGTAATTGTTTCCCCCCGCTATGCTGGCTGGGAAGTTTGCAAGTCCTAATGCATCTGTAGGGGCCCAGACTGGAGAAGACTGATATCTGCCATTTCTGCCACATTAATTGTTAATCTTTAAGATGGTACAAGTCTTTGTCTTCTACTTGGATAGCAAGAGATTTTCACTTTGAAACCATAGGAAGTCAGTTGACTATATGGATTACAGTTATGAGTTGCTGGAAAATTGAAAAAGGGATCCACGTGAAGTGGAAGATTATGGATGAGCAAACTTTTCATCCCTTTGGGCTACAGTAATGAAGCCTCCTGCTCCATCCTACTCTCCAGATGCTGGGAAGCTCCTTCCCCAGGGCGAGACCACACTATGCGGCAACCTGCCAATCAGCTGATAGTGCTTAGAAGGCAAAAGCCACTGATGGTCTGCAGACAAAGGGGGACCCTGTTTTCCATATCAATGTAAGCGCACGTGACTGCACAAAAGGAATTTTTGGAATCTAACTGTTGGGTTATGCTGCAATATGTATAAGCTTCCATGAATTGCTAAGGAGGGAGAACTCAGGTACACACAACTAATCATTAAAGTAGATTCCTACAATGTTCAAAACATTTCATCTACGCTCTGGAACCTTTGAACTCCTCAGCAAGAATGCTGGAACAGTTAAACCTGTGATGCAAGGAACAGGCTAAGAGAGAAGCATGACCAAAACTACCAAAGTGAGTCCTGCATCAAGCTCCCAGGTTCACTCCGTCAGCAACAATTCCATAGTATTGTTTCCTCTTGCTCTACCTGTTCTTTAGATTTAAACTAGATTAATGTGAATCTCAAGCTAGAAAAGGCACACTTTAAATAGGAAGTTAAGCCCACTCCCCAAAGCACTTTCCTCACCAAGGGAATCTCCAAGAGGACCTCCAACTTCCGGAATCCTTCTCCACATTTCCACAACTTTACACTGCCACTGTGGGAACCTGCCAAAAACAGAGCATATAACGGTTTTAAAATGTCCACGTTCAGTCTGAAGGCTTTAAGAAATCTAGTTCAGTGACGTTTTTCTAGTTCTTCAGTGATGCTCTTTAAGAACCTAATGCTAGAGATTAATGGATAAACCCCAATGTAACTTTTATCCTTCCTGAATTAAGATTATTATTATTACTGTTACCATTATTTACTTATCCTGATGTACTAAAAAGAATAAACATATGAGGAATGTTAGTATACAGTATACTATATACAAATAAACAGCATGTAATTCTAAAAGGTGTAGCAGCTACCAATTATCCTAGCTGAAAAGCAAGCAGTCTGATGCTTCTTAGCCGGACACCTCGCACACTCAGCTGATCTGAACCACTGAGATTTCATTTCAGACCATCACTCTAGCCACGGACCACACTTCTGTGAAGTGGGTATGGCACAGGCCAAAACCATACTTTATTAACAGAAATTACATACAGTTAATAATATCTTTATTTATTTAATTTTATTACCTCCCATACATTTAATAATTTTCTCTTTCTATTAGTTCAAGAATTACAACTCAGTAATTTTTGGAGGCAATCTTGTGGTTACTCCGGGGGCTGTGGGAAGTTGCAAGAACTGCTGGTTCTGAGTCTGTGCTTCCTTGGATCTCCTGTTTAATAGGAATAACCTACTGACCCAAGTTTATAAATCCAAACATTTATCTAAAACAGCTATTATCCTCTGACATCAAGACAAAGACATCAGAACTCCAGAGCTAATGGAATCCAAAGGAGAGATTTGGGATGCCAAGTGTACCCAGAGACACGTCCTGACATCAGAAAACCTGAATCAGAAGTTTCCTAAATGCAAAGCTAAAGCGTAGGTCAGCGAAGTCCTCTAAAAATCATTTACAAATATCTTGGAATGCCCTCAACTGATTGCTGTGAAGCAGAAGATAGCTTTGAAAAATATGATAACAGGACTATCTTGTACAATGCCTACTCAGAAGTAAGCTCCACTATAATTAGCAAGATGCACTTCAAAGTACTTATACACAAGATTTTGCCTAGAACTGTATAAAGGATTTTAGGTCGAGATGCTGACCCAGTCTTTGCTAATGCCAGGGGAAAGAACTCCACCCAGCTTCCTAGCCCCAAAGGCAGCATGAAAATCAAGGCAAATGTCTCATGGCACCTGTAGCTGTGAGGTCACTGTTCAGTAAAGCAGCAACTGAAGAAATCCAGAATGGCTGTTCCAGGCCCTGCGTGCCATGAGAACCGTGGGCTTGCTTCACTATTGTTAGTGGTTTCTTTTTGGAGAGACCCCAGAGGGCAACTGACCTTAGAAACAAAATCACAATCATTACACACCACACAGGAATCACTTGATTTTGCTTTTACTGAGTTACAGTTTCAGAGTGTGCTCACCCATCATCTGCACCAGACACCATGTGCTCCTCATTGATGAGCTGGATGCAGTCAATTGAACCCCTAATGCGAAGGAGAAAACCACAGTCACACTACTAAATAAGCAACACAAAGACTCCAGGCTACTAGCAATCAATCTAGATTGTGTGCTTAAGCACATTTTTTCATAATGAAAGACATGAACACATGGGGTTTTTTTTATAGGTTTGTACCACAAACTTGACTTCATTGCGGTTAGTTTGACCTTTCCCTTAAATGACGATCTCTAACTGCTATTTCTTATACAATATTTAGTAATGATCAGCAACATCTGACATATTTAAGATTACATAAACATTTCTAATGCCTCTACTAATCTATATTTACCACATTGCATGGTAGCTGCTGTCTGCTAGCATTGAGCCCAACCACAGCTTCCCATTTCATGTTTCCTGTCTACTAGCTGTTTGCCTTGTCCCATGATACGTTTGGGGTTACCTTCAGCAAGCTTAACTTTTGCACTGCTTTTCTAACTTTTCAAGTTCTTAATTTTTTATCATTTTATTTTCCTATAAGCATCCTTATCAGTGTTAGTAATTTATGGGGTACTTCATTCTTGTTCATCATCCTCTAGTGCCCTTCATAACTGTATTGCAAAACACTGTGCTGCTAATTTTTACAAACAAGCAAGCCTCAGATATTGGGCAGGGCTGTGCATACTTCAAACATGATTCAGAGGAGATTCTTCAGCACATACAGGAGCCTAAAAAAACTTTCACACAAGCTTGAAAAAAGTTGCAGCTGCTTTAAAGAGTTGTGCTCACATGTGTTTCAAAGCACTTCAGCACTCTCATTTTTGAAGCATGCACAGCCCTGGAAAAGTTTTAAAAAGTGAATTTCATACTTGCAAAGAGATGGAATACTGTTTTTGTGCTGAGAAATATAAAGTTTATGTTTCGCTGGAATGGCAATTTCATGTACACCAAGTGACTCACATTCACATAGCAGGTCAAGAATCACATGGATTAGAGAAACTGTAGATCTATGTTGGAAAAGGTTCAGCTCACAAAACAGTGTTTTCCTAACCGTGCTATTTCCTCTTCTAGTTCTAGTACTTGCTTTATCTCACTTTATATCAGATCTCACCTCATTCCTGTAATTCCCTCAACCTTCTCAAGTACCTTGGGTGGAGATATAAGAGGACTGCAGCACAAAGGTATAAATTCATCCAGTTCAGGAGAGGATTAAAAGTGATGCAAGAAATTCTTTGAAAGATCTAAAGATAATCTGACCAATTAAATGAGGACTACAGCTGATCACAGCCTAATTTCAAAGAGCCATCCATCAATGCATTTAGCTTTTGATAATAATAGAGACGCAACAAAGCACAGCATGGTAGCTCATTATTTCTCTATAATGTGCTACATAGAGATTTCCATTCCTGACAAAATACACTTTGTAAAAGAAGCCTAAACAGGGGATGATTCTCACACTTACTGGTGCCCATAAAACACAAGCTGGGATTCCTCAGGGATTTTCCAGATTCTGACAGTGCCATCTCTCCCTCCTGATGTGACACAGCACTCCCGGCTCAGGCTATCTAGGCCTGTGATCGCATCTTGATGACCAAACCTTGGGAGAAAAGAGCAAGATTCAGTTACGGACTGTCTATGCTTGAGAATTCAGTATTTCAGCTGGATACATTGCAGGCTACTTCACTGTGTAGGTGTTGACATATTCAGCAAATCCTGGCCCTCTAAATGGTCACATTGAATAAAAGGACGGGGGGAGGGAGAGTTCTGTTCCTTTAAAAGCTTCATAACAAGATGTTGGTACAGGCTCCTTCATTTATCATTGCTTCACGTTGATGGGGACCTATAGATTCTCGTCAACATAATTTGGGGCACCTTTCTCCAAGGTGATCACCTCGTTCCATTGGGACAGTAACTCCATGAATTTCCAGCCAGAAATCCCCACATTGGCTAGAGGTTCTGAGATTTGGAGGGCTTCAGTTTGGGGAAGTCTGGTCTGGAATACTGCTACTACCATGTTAGGGAAAAAAAAACCTGCAGTGAGTTAACAGAGTTCTTCTGTAAAAAGGAATCACCACATCAATGTGTTAATGAGGCCAGCATCCACTTGGCCTCCTGATAAGTTGTCTCTGACCTTCATGGTACATAGTTTTCACAGATCAGAAACACGCCATGTGTGTACCACGAATTCTGCATGTTTGCCAAAAAAATTTCCTTACAAAGTTTCAACATATGCATTCTCTGCCACGTTCCATACTTTGACTGAACGGTCATGGGAGGTGCTGTACAACTGGTGAGTGCCCTTGCGGAAAGACAGGCCCTGAAAGGGAAACAGCATGAAAAGAGGAAGAGATGGAATGAGATGGGCACAAGGGCAGGCAGAATTAATCCTGAATTTCTCTACCACATCTAATCCACTTGTCCCAGAGGGAAATGTGGATTACTCTATTAGAGAGCAAACAAGAGATACAAAGTACAGGTGGAATAAGCTGCCATGCACACTTGTTTATTAAAACAAGATACAAAATAATAATAATAATAATAATAATAATAATAATAATAATAATAATAATAAAAACTAGCTGACTGTGAGGCCAACAATCTTTTTGTTACATTGTACCCATTATCCTTTAAGATAAGGTTTTTGTGTTCAGATATTTGTTTGCACAATTACCTTGTTTTATTATTATTATCTAACAAACACTAGATAAAAGATCATATAACACTTTAAGCATTTCTGCTATGTGTTCATTTTGCAATTCCTTAAGAATCCTGAAATGCATCATAGCAAAGATATTAATGGGGGGGGAGGAGAGGGATGCAAATTTTTGCACTGATGCATTTCACAGTGATTCCTCATATTTAAAAAATATTTTTATTTTGCTTTCCTATGATACAGGCAATTTATAGAAGAACAAAATAGATTAAAAAATAATATTAATGTAGAAAAATAAATGCAGCAAAAAGGATTCAAATTTTGAGATGGCTGATTGAGGAGTGCAAGTTGTTTCTATAAAGCCATTCTTCAGATTGTTGTAACAATTTTTCAACTGTTAAATTCTTTTTTAAAGACATACTAGTAGCATCCATAAAAACTCTCACCTATATCCTGACTGTACTTTATCTAAAAATATGAATACCTCTAGTGGTTGTGGTCACTTACCGACACAGTATCACGATGGCCTGTGAACTTGTACAGGTGTCTGCAGTTTGCAGCTTCCCAGATCATAATGAGTTTGTTCCTGTCACCTGTAGCCTAGAAGTGACAAAGGAAGACCCTTCTCAGTCCTCTCCTCTTCAATCACATTACACATACATTCTGTCTAGTAATAATGACCGACTGTTACTGAAACTCAGGTGCCTCAGCCTTCTGGACATACTTATTTTAATGCCTTAATGTTTTGCTTACAGTAACATGATTCAAATACCTCATTCTTGATTTGCTTTCTGGTTCTATTTTATTTATTAAATTTATATGCAGCCCATCTCCCCCAGAGGGTGACTCTGGGCGGCTACTTTGCTCTGAGAAAGGGAGCGCAGCTGGGATTAAGCAGTAAAACTGCATGGAGCAAAAAGGGGGATTGTATGTCTATGTGAATAAGGACAAAGAGGCTCCTATTATATGTATTGATTAGATTCAGGGAAATTTCCTCAAGATACACAGATCCCACAGTGCTGAACAGGGTGAACGTACAACTCAGATCAACAATTAGTTGATAAAGGAAGATCAGTAACTCTCTTAAAGAGGGATCTCTCTACTGTACTAAAAGATCACCACTTTGGTGGACTACCAGAAACAATTTTTGCAATACAGAGGGGAAAACAAACTGCAGAAGTATCTGCCAACTCTGCTAGAACTGTGAGGAGTTGCTTTCTCTTCCTCAGAATGGGAGAAGAAAAGATTCTTCTTACCAGGAATTTGCCATCTGATGAGATGGCCATTGAGATGATGTGCGCAGTATGCCCAACATGGCTGTCTTCTGTCCCCTTTTTTCCTCCGTGAATCACATGGAGCTTTTTTCCACTCTCAACATCCCCTTTAACAGAAAGATGCTCAAGTCAGTTTTCAAACGTCTGAATTCTTTTTTGACACTTCAAGGTAAGCTAGAGCTCTGAAAATTATTTTAGTAAAATCCATAATTTGAGAACAATTAATCTTCCATCATGAGTCAACTGCTTAAAAAAACATAAGTGTCTCAGAAACTGTACTTCCAATGCAAACATATCGATATAAGGAAAGGGACTTAAATATAATGTTAAGTCAGTCAGTTCCTGCTCACTGTCCAGTCCCAAATTAATCTATTGATAAAACAATTACAGTGGTACCTCGGTTCATGAACTTAATTCATTCCGCGACTCTGGTCGCGACCCGAATCAAATTTTCCCATAAGGTTCAATGTAAATATGATTAATCCATTCTGACCCCTCCGAATTTGGTCGCCAACCGATTTTGGTCGCGACCCGAATCAAATTTTCCCATAAGGTTCAATGTAAATATGATTAATCCATTCTGACCCCTCCGAATTTGGTCGCCAACCGATTTTGGTCGCGACCCGAATCAAATTTTCCCATAAGGTTCAATGTAAATATGAT